ATTATTACATAATTAATTTTTTTTTAAACACAACTAAAATCATATAGATTAAATAGAACCATACGACATCTACAAAAAAAAAAATTTATCTCATTGATAAGAACTTATAATGAAACAAAGAAAGCACAATTGGAGAAATAAAATAAGAGCAGATCAAATTCAATATGAGACAAATATAAAAGAAGGACGAGGAGCATATTCACATGAAAAACTTTTAAGAAAACTAATTTTTACAAATTTTTTTACTAAAGTAATTGAACACCCTACAATCTACTCTTAAAATAGATAAGCTCGCATTATATAATGTCATGGCTAAAAGGTCCAAGCACATAGTGACCAACCCCAAATTTCTTCTTTATTACTTTGTTAGCCACTAGATCTAAATGAAATAAAACAAGAAAACAAGGAACATAAAAAAGGAAAGAAAACAAAAACCACGAGAAGGGGTCATAAAAGAAACCGATAGACCACTAAAGGTGGTCAATGAACAAAAGAGCACAATCAATTGGCTCCACCATGCTCGAGAAGCTAGAAGGCTTCCGAGCACCAAAAAAACAAAGAAACTTTGGGAAGGTTTTAGTCAAAAGTAGGAGAATTTTAGAGTAATAATTTTTTTTTATTTAAGATTCATTCATAATATTATAGGTATTTATTCATTTAATGATATATTATGATTATAAATTTATAATTTTACATGGTATTAGAACTATAATATTATATTTTTATATAGAGGAGTTTTGAATTACAACCCTTGATGGTATTGTCATTAAAAAGGTACAAGCAGTCACATATTTTGGGTGAGTCATATTTAGGGCTTATTGAGTTCTTTAAGAAATTATTTTGAACATGGAAATTTTAAGAGGAGCATCCAACAAAAGGCATAGATTTTTTTCCTAAAATTGCGTGTTGAAGCAAACTTTTATTAAAAAAATTTAATGTAATTTTTCATTTTAAATTTTTACTTTTAAGGAATTAGTCTAAGGGTCTGTTTGGTACAGTAGTTAAAATTTAACGGATAATGGATAGCAGATAGCATATAGTGGATAGCGATAGCAGACAGTGGGTGAGGGTTAATGGATAGTGGATGACGGATAGCGAAAAGTGAGTAGTGGATGGTAAATAGCGGATTCGATAAATATAACTGTTTGGCTATACAATAGTTAGCAGTTGTTATTTAACATTAAATGACTAATAAGGACATATTTAAAAATAAATAAGTGTATTTTTTAAATATTTTTGTTTATTATTATTAAAATTATTAATTTTATAAAAATAATAATAAGAAAATAAATAAATAAAATTAATTATAATAACGTAATTACAACCTCATTTTTATTTTTAAAAAAGAAAAAATTATATTATTTT